GAAGGGAATAATACAATTGGATAGATACGGAGGATTTCTTGTCGTGGGCGGATTGTAAAAATACTTTAAACTGTCGGATAGCCAGCAGAATTAATATGTTTGGTTATATTACGTTTTTCTATTGATTGGTAAAGTGGAAGAGAACAGTGGCTGTGTATGGGCTTTGTTAAAGTACTTAAGATGTTAATTTTATGGGAAAGAGGACAGAAAGATGTGTAATGTGTGTATAGTTGGGGAGAGAATCTTTTTTGTAAAATAAAATAATAAAAGAAACTCTTCCCTCAGCAAATTGTCTTTTATTTATAAATTCCTTTTGTTCCACATTTGGTTATGACGTTTATGTAATTTTGGAGTTGTACAATTAGTAAATCCGTTGATATGGAGTTTGATAATATTGCTGTGTCTACGAAAAGCTTTGTTTGGCATTTTGAATGTAGAGGGAAATCGTTGATCTAAACGTTGAATAGATTGTATCCAAGGATAGAGCTTTTTTTTTTGATGGATTGGGTTGAATTTGCAATAGCTATAATATTCACTTGTTTAATGGAAAAGACCCTGTCCTGAAGGTAGTTTTTTTTTATTTGGCAAAGCCTCTTGAAAATTGATATTCTGTTAGTTTTACTATCAATCCAATATTTCATACTCTATCAAAAACTTTGTTTGTTTCTTATCCCCTTGTGAAAAGATTACATGAATACCATATTGTCTGATATCATGAAATAGGGTATAGTGGTGCAGCTTTCGTTGATCATGGCACCATGATCCAGACACACTTTGGTGAAAGTCTGACTGTAATTTGAGGCCCATCAAAAACTTTAATAAGGTCTAGTCAAATAGTACCTACTGCCTTCTTATGGAATCTTCTTATTTGAATGTAGTTTATTGCTGTGATTACTTGATGGGAGTGTTCTTTTCTAAATATAAATTAATGAGGAACGAGAAATTTCTATAAAATATTCCCTTGCATCTATATTGAGTAAAATCAATCATTCCTCCAGGGAAAAGTATATTTTAAAAACATTTTTATTATTCTCTAGCTTTCAGGCACGGACACCCTTCTACAGGAGAAAACCTACAGAAGGGCCTGTAGAAGGGCGTCCGTGCCCGAAAGCTAGAGAACAATAAAAAAGTTTTGAAAAGACACTTTTCACTGGAGGAATGATTGATTTTACTCAACGAGAAATTTGATAGAATCCATGTACGTCTGCAATCTACGAAGAACAATCCTCTCGCATACCTTACCGATGGTAGAGAGAAGGCTGATTGGTCTGAGATCTTCTGGTGATTTAGTAGGTGTTTTTTTACGGCTTTTATAATAAAATGGCATGTTTCCAGGTCTTCGGCAATAGCACAGGTGCATTGAAGATTCCAGCGATGAAACTATTCAATGATGGAAATGTTTTTTGTTATTTTTGGCTTAATATTGTCATGGCATTAGAGTTAACACACACACAAAGCTTTATTAAGACCACCGGTCTTATACAGATTCACCACAGGAAGGAAGGAAGCATAGATGGAGCTCCTCTACTCCAGGGAGTACAGCACCCAATAACAGTCTACAGGTCCGACGTATGTCCAGTGGCCACACATTCCTTCGTGCATACGTCAAGGTTAGCGAATCACTGAAAAGACAAGTGTTAAAGTCTTCACTTTCCTCATTCAAATGGACCACGACATTCAGCGATTTTATTAATCTCCTCCGAACGGTGACTGCGGCCTTGTAGAATTTATATAAACCAAAAAAAAAAAAGACATTGATCAAACATCATTGCATTCATCCAGTTATAAATTTGTTGACAATCGGCGGAAGAATGGTCTAAACCGTTGGTTGTCGAACGCTACGACCTGGGTTCGATTTCCGCATTGGGCACTTTTTTCTGATTAAAAAAAAATGCTCCAATGGCCCCCGATTCTTGCAAAAGCCAACCCCACCAGCGAGTGCAAGTAACCAAACGGGGCTCTGGCACATTTGTAAGTGGATGGTCGAACTGCTTTTCACATGTGTAGACATGTGGTGTACTTACAGTAAAAGCAATCACTAACTACCCACCATGATTACCGTGGCCTGTACCAAATGTACTAGGGATAAGCAAAAAAAAAATAAATAAATAAAATAAATACATGGTATATAAGAAACCAATCCAATACAACAATAGAGCGGTCTGGAGGTTAATTTGGCGAAACCGCTGAGAGGGTCCACCATTGATGAGCTAAGCCCTCTCATTCAATAACTTATATCATTGTAGTAAGGTCTGTAGAGATTATATTTGATAATATATAAAAAGAAACACATTGCCAAAAGGTTTTGTTACAAATTAAAGGGCTTGGTTAACTTTTTCTCAAAGATTTAAGTAAGTAGCTTTATGAGCTGTGTATCCCAGATTTAATTGCCATCTTTTCAGAGCTTTATTTTTCTCCCTTCTTATACATTTATACTTATATATCCCTTTTTATTAGCGCTCTGATTGGCTTTTCATTGTCACGTGAATTTAATCAGCTAATCAGTGTGCAGTGTTTCTTTAGCTCAGATGTTGTATTGAACAACTAAACAACTCTATATATTGAATACGAGGTGTGTTCAAAAGGTATCGCGACTTTTGAATTTTCGCGGGTTACGTATATTCGAATTTCGATCTTTTTGTGGCTTTATGTTGGTACTCATGTCTCTCACTTATGCCGACAAGCTCGGCCATTATGAATGTTCACTTAATTGTTGACAGCTGCTTTGCTTGCAGGTGTTTTGGATCGTCTTCGATTTTTACCTATTAAAAAAATGGATCAAAGAACCTGTATCAAATTTTGTGTGAAAAACGAAATTAAGTGCGCGGATGCATTCCGAATGTTGACTGTGGCATACGGAAAAGCTACCTTGGACCGAAGCAACGTTTATCGGTGGTACAAAATGTTCTCAGAAGGCCGAGAAGATGTGAACGACGAAGAGCGTGCCGGACGCCCGAGCACTTCAACAACAGACGAAAAAATTAATGAAGTGGAGAAAATGATATTGGCCAATCGTCGAATCACCGTTAGAAAAGTTGCTGAGGACCTAAACATATCGATTGGCTCGTGCCATTCGATTTTTATCAATGATTTGGGCATGAGACGGGTCGCCGCGAAATTCGTACCAAAATTTCTCAATTGCGACCAAAAACAGCATCGCATGAACATTGCTAATAAGATGTTGGACTCTGTCCGCGACGACCCAAATTTGCTCCAGAGGGTCATAACTGGTGACGAAGCGTGGGTTTATGGTTTTGGCGTGGAAACCAAAGCTCAATCATCTCAATGGAAGCTGCCGCACGAACCAAGACCGAAAAAAGCGCGCCAAGTTCGGTCGAATGTGAAAGTTTTGCTGACAGTTTTCTGCGATTGCAGGGGCGTGGTGCATCATGAGTTCTTGCCACAGGGTAGAACGGTCAATAAGGAATATTACCTGCAAGTTATGCGCAATTTGCGCGAAGCAATCCGCCAGAAACGCCCGGATTTGTGGAAGAACAAAAATTGGCTTTTGCACCACGATAACGCCCCTGCTCACACATCGTTGCTTGTGCGCGACTTTTTGGCCAAAAACAACACACTAATGATGCCGCAGCCACCGTATTCCCCAGAACTGGCCCCCTGTGACTTTTTCTTGTTCCCTAAACTGAAGAGGCCCATGAAAGGACGACGTTACGCTACGCTTGACGAGATAAAGACGGCATCGAAGGAGGAGCTGAAAAATATTTTAAAAATGATTTTTTGAAGTGCTTCGAAGATTGGAAAAACCGTTGGCACAAGTGTATAATACCTCATGGGGATTACTTTGAAGGGGACAAAATAGGTATTCATGAATAAATAAATAATTTTGAAAAAACACAAAAGTCGCGATACTTTTTGAACTTCTATTCTTGGAACATTTAAAAAAAATATTCATAACTACACTTAAGGAAGTTGTACCTTTTAGCATGTATATCGGGATTCAAACAATAACTCTTAAAACTATTTTATACACAGTCACCTTTATTGAATACACACGAGATAACCAAGTGTAAACAAAATTTCCTCTATCTCCTAAAAAACAAACAAACAAACAGATAACCGGCGACATCAAATTTAAGTCTATGCGTGTATTTACTAATATACTAAAATTATTTGTTCTAATGAGAATAGATTTGAGGTAAGAACCTATCAAATAGATATCTCAATTTTTCATATTCGTATAAAGAGATCACGGTAATAGTAAAAAGGCTTATAATATATTTTAGAATATATAAATTTCGAAGTGTTAAAGAACACACATAACTACTTCAGTAGATTGCTACAAGATAGAATTTCTCGACTTTACACATCCCCCCTTCACATTCCAAATCTAAGGAATCTTCTTTTATTGGACGCTTTATGTAATCCCTCTCAAGCAGGAGTTGATCGCCCTGTGCGCATGCGCCAACATTATCGACCAAACGATACTAACGTACAAATATCCATTCTTTTGGAAACTATATTTATGAATTTTTTAGATTGTTTTATTAAAATATTTCGTTTTAATGTATATTTTTAATTGCTAATTTCTGTATATTTATATATAAATGTATATTTATATGTTAATATATCGGTTTTATATATAATTTTAAATCTTTTTGTATATTTTGAATATGACAAAATATACTTTTATAAATTCAATTGCCATCAATCGATTAAAAATTTTAATAATTAAAACTATTGGGAATGTGTTTCTTTTTAAATAATGGCATCAAATATTACTCTATTTCCCGCCTATCTTCTTTCTTGTGTGTTCATTTTTCTTTATTTGCGCGCTTTTTTTTATCACTTTCCTATCGATTTTTTTTAGATAGAACCTGTACTTAGTACATTTACCACTCCATATTACTTAAAATATTAAAGCTTGTTAGATGATATAGAGTATATAATTGATGTCAAGTGCCTCTTTGTATGAATATTGCTTCATAGTTTATCATATTGAGATAAGCTATTAGAAGTAATGTTTATCGTTTTATCTTAAAATAATATTATAGAAATGTGTAAATAGCTTATCTGATGATATTCACCTTTTATTTAACCATTTAATCTCTACTCACTGTCTATATAGTACTTGGAGTGTGTTGTATAGTTATTATTTAATCAAACATTACTCACCAGATGAAATTATTATTACTAATTGTTTATTACACTTTATATTTATATTTTTACATTAACACGTTGTTTACATTATACATCGTATATTATTGTTTATGATGATGATCTGTAATATATTTTAAAACACAGAATACTACATTCCCTCCTTCCTTTAGATGAAAGGAATCATGTCTTTATATCTTGATGATGGCTTGACGACTCTTCCACTCCTGGTGATCACGGGTTCCTTGGTAGTCGGCAAGGGTGGAGAAACCTCTGGTGGCAACTGGTGAAGAGCCTCGGCATCAAGTCTATCTGAAACAACTGGGTTAAATGTAGACCCTGTTCTACTTGAACTTGGTCGGTTTAAAGAAGTGTCCTTGTCTTGGTTTGAGGAATTATCATCTGGTATTTGTACATCAGAAGAGTTGAGGTGTTCAATTCTTGTCGAATCTGAACTAAGATTTTCCTGGCTCTCTTCTGGAATCAAGTCAGAAATGCCTTGATTGGTCTCTTGAGTAGGAACATGTTTCAAATGTTTAGCATTTCTATGAATTATTTTCCCATTTTTAGTGTTGACTAATTTAAAAGAATTTATTGAAGTGATTTCAAGAATGACAGGATGTTCTGATCTGAAATTTGAATCAAGTTTTCCATTATTTGGATTTGCCACATAAACTAAATTTCCAATTTCAAAATTATGAGGACTAGCTTTCCGAATTATATCATTATATGTTTTCATTTTTTCTTTGTAGACCATATTGAATTCTTTGATGTTGGATTCATCTTCTTCTGCATCATTAACAAGTGAGCTTAATTTAGTTTTGATTTCTCTTGAAAATAATAGGAATGCTGGAGTCTTTCCTGCAGATCTGTTTGGAGTAGTTCGGTAAGACATTAAAATTCTGGATAAATCTTCTTTCCAATCTTTCCCTTCTTCAGAACTTGAATTAAATTGTTTCTTTAGAAATCTATGGAATCTTTCTATCTTCCCATTACTTTTTGGGTAATAGGGTGAGGCTTTGATGTGCTTGATTCCACATTCTTTTAAAAATCTTTCCATTGATGTACTTACAAACTGTAAGCCATTATCTGTTGCAACTTCATGTGGATAACCATGTCTTGCAAAAATCTCCATCAATTTTTTAATAATTGTCTTGCTGGAAATGTCTTCTATTATCATTGCTTCAGGATATGAAGAATAGTAGTCGATCACTGTTAAAACATAATGATGGCCAATTGGACCAACTATGTCAATTCCAAGTTTCATCCAAGGTTTTGATGGTAACGGAACTATTTGCAATGGTTGATCATTTATCAATGGTTGATTCCTTACACAAATTGGACAGTTTCTAATCAAATTTTCAATGTCAAAGTCCATGTTTATCCAAAAATATTTTTCTCTTAACAGTTGTTTGGTTCTTGTCATTCCTTGATGTGTTTCATGTGCAATTCTCAAGACTCTCTTTATTAGTTTTGAAGGTAGCAAAATTCTACTTCCTTTTAAGATAAGATTATCAAAAATTGAGAGTTCATCTTTAAACTTATAAAAACATTTGAATTCTTCATTCAAAGGATATGGCCAAACTCCCTTTTGAACCATATCTTTCAGTTTTTGAAACAAAGGATCTTGCTCTGTACAAACTTTTATCTCTTTCAAAGACAGTGCTTGAAGCTCTTCAGAAGTGATGGATAAGACTTTATGAACATAGTCCTCCAGCCATTTTTCATCACTTGTGTTAGAAAGAGGTTGTCTTGAAAATATATCTGCAATATTTTGCTTTCCTTGAATGAATTCAATTTCAAAGTCATATGGTTGGAATTCTTGGAGGCAAAACAGCTCCATTTTTAGGATTCAGCATATAGATTAGAGGTTTGTGATCTGTTTTTAACACAAATTTCCTTCCCCAAATATAGGTGTTAAAATGTTCAATTGCCCATACACATCCCAATGTCTCTTTTTCTATTTGTGAATATCTTTTTTTCAGTATCAGTTAAGGATCTGCTGGCATATGCAATGGGTCTTTTAATGCCATTTTGTTGTGTTTGTATTAATACTGCTCCAAGACCAATATGGCTTGCATCTGTGATTAATTCAGTTGGTGAGTTCAAGTTGTAATATGCCAAGCATGGCTCTTTTGTTAGTGACTCTTTAAGATCCTGAAATGCTTTATTTGTTTTCAAATCCCAATTCCACCTAACATTTTTTCTAGTCAAATTATTTAGAGGTTCTGCCAATTTAGAAAAATTAGGTATGAATTTTCTTAAAAACCCACAAGTTCCTAAGAATGACCTTAACATCTCAATATTTTTTGGTATTGGAAAATTTAAGACTGCTTCTATTTTCCTATTATCAGGTTTAATACCTTCACTACTAACAATGTGACCTAAAATATCCAATTCTTCCATTGCAAATTTGCACTTATTCCTGTTGAGCCTAATGCCTACTTTATCAAATCTTTGTAAGACTTTTCTAAGCCTTTCTTCTAGTTCTTGTCTATCTTTGGCGTAAACTACGACATCGTCCAAGTAACAAATTACACCTTTCAAATCAAGCAAAATTGAATCCATTCCTTTCTGATATGCCTCTGGAGCACTTGATAGACCAAAAGGAACTTTACAAAATCTGTAACAACCACGGTGCGTGATGAAAGTTGTAAGGGGTCTTGATTGAGGGTCTAAGTCAACCTGCCAAAACCCTTTTTTTGCATCCAGCTTTGCAAATACTTTAGCACCTTTAAGGGCATGTAACATATTGTCAATTGTAGGAATTGGATGTCTTTCTCTCAATATTGCTTTATTCACTTCCCGAAGGTCTATGCATAGTCTAATTTCCTCACTGTCCCTTTTTGGAACAACTATTATGTTAGAAACCCATTCAGAACCTTGATGCACTTCTTCAATGATTCCATTCTCTAGCATCTTATCAAGCTCTTGATTTACTGCTTCTACCATTGCATAAGGTATACGACGGCATCTCTGGGCAATGGGCCTATAGTTGTCTTTCAATGTCACTTTATGACTATAGCCTTTTATAGTTCCAAGTCCATGGAAAAGATGTTCATGTTCTTGAACAAGAGTTTCTATATTAGTAGACATTGATTCATTTACATGATTTACCCTTTTAATTATACCTAGTTCAAAACTAGCCTTGCCTCCCAACAAAGATTCAACTTTTTTATCAATCACATAAATTTCTTCTGAAACTGAATTTTTTTTCCAAGAAATCACAGCATTGAAATAACCATAACATGGAAGAGGTCTATCTTGACCATAGGCAAAAAAGGTTCGGGTGGTGTCATGTAATTTTGGCATAATTTTATGGCCATATAATTCAAGCATCTTATTATAGCTTATGAAAGTTCTATCACTCCCTGTATCAATTATCATATTTATTTCACTACCATCTATTTGCACTTTTTCTTTATTTTCAGCACCTGTATAGTAGGTATATTCATCTGAACTTTCACCTACTTCAGTCTTATTTTCTTCTTGTATGGTCTTAACTTTAGTTTGATTGAAACTTTTGTGGTTTCTATTATTATTTTGATTTGGGCGGTTCCTGCAAGCTCTAAAAAGATGTCCTAATTTATTGCAAAATGAACAAGTCATTTTTTTAGCACCACATTCTTGTGCTGAATGTGTATCTAATCCACAGCGATAACATTTAGGCTTTGAGGCACCTGAAAATGATGGGGTACCTTGATTAGTGAATCTACCTTTGTTGAAATTATTAGCATTATAGAGCTTTTTAGGTTTATTTTGAACTCTATTTAGTGTTTGATCATTTTGAGGTTCAAGAAGTCTAATTTCTTTTCTAGAAATTTCTAACATTCTAGCAATATCAATGGTTTTTGACAGTGTCAAATTTTCTTGTTGCAACAATTTTTCTTTAAGTTTTTTGTTGTTACATTTTTCAATTATTTGGTCTCTTATCATATCAGCTTCTAAATTCCCAAATTCACAAGATTTAGAAAGCTCTCTTAAAGAAATTAGGTAGTTGTCGATCGATTCATCATCTTTCTGGACTCTTTGTCTAAATTTAAATCTCTCAGTGACCACATTTTTATGAGGTGTGAAATATTTATCTAAAGCCATTTTAGTTTGTTCATAATTTTCCTTTTCATCTGGCAAGTTGAAAAATATACGTTGTACATTTGGCCCTAAACAATGCAATAGAGTTGCTCTCTTAATTTCATCCGATTTTTTTGAAATTCCAGATGCTATTTCAAAAATGGCATAGGATTCCATCCATTGCTTATATTCCGCAAATAAATTGCTTGCATTCATATTCATGGGTAAAGGTGGCGTCAGGTTGGCTGCCATACTTGTTTTTTTTTTTTTTAGGGCTACAGTTATATTTTCAAATTCTCGTCGCCAATTTATGTTGTATAGTTATTATTTAATTAAACATTACTCACCAGATGAAATTATTATTACTAATTGTTTATTACACTTTATATTTATATTTTTACATTAACACGTTGTTTACATTATACATCGTATATTATTGTTTATGATGGTGATCTGTAATATATTTTAAAACACAGAATACTACAGAGTGAATTTTTATTTTGTACGATCTCAATAAAAATTAATCAACATTTAAAAAATAAAACATACTATTTTTATATGATTTTTAATTATTATATTTATTATTTCAAAGTCTATAGATTATATTAAAATGAAAATTGTATTTTTTGAAACGATTTTTTATTTGAAAAAATAGTACAAATGTGATATTGTACTGCGATAAGGTGCATAAATTATAAAAAAGGCATCTCCTTATCGTGTAACTGAAAGTTGCTGATGGCTTACGCCATCTATCGGAATAAATATAAACTATTCTCGTTGATTTTTAGTTGATATTTATTCCGATAGATGGCGCAAGCCATCAGCAACTTTCAGTTGCACGATAAGGAGATGCCTTTTTATGATTTTTTATTTATTATTATTTTTTTATAAACAGCTTTATTTTCATATGGCCCAGTGGACCATGCAACTCTGGAATTGTCAAAGTGTTATATTGACGTCTATTTTGACGGGAGAGGTGACCTTTATAGATGAATGTCCTCCTGGAAAAATTTCCATCTATATTTTAGCCATAGATTTGGCCTAGCTACTTTACAGCTAAACACCTCTTTGGTAGATTGTGAGGATTCCATTAGATACCGTGTGGATCTCATGGAATAAAGTCCGCCTTAGACTGACGAGGGCCATTAGCCCGAAACCACCTCTAGGTGGACGTTTCTTAGTTTGCCAAAGCTGGTGTTGTGTCTTTGTCATCGACCTGAGGCCGCTAGTTTGCGGCGAAGGTCAATAGATGGCGTCTAGTTTTGACGTCTATTTTGACGGAAGAGGCGACCTTTATATTTATAGATTTTTCAAGTCATAGAAACATAAAGCACGAACGTTTATTTGAAATCCAAATTAAACAAACTTCTTGTGTTATTACTGCATGAAAATATTGGGAGGGCTTGGCTCATCAGTGGGTAAACCTCCCAGGGGTTTCACCAAATTTGATCAACCAGACCGCTAAAAGTGGAAGGTTACCCACTGATCAGGCAAGCCCTTCCAATATTTTCATACAGTAAGTACAGCAGAAGTTTGTTTAATTATAATTTAAAAGAAACTGTTATGTACTCTTCTACCTAATCTATATATATATATATAAAATTGAATGTCTGTCTGTGTGTACTCTATAGATTCAAAACCCATACATCCAATCGCCGTGAAAATTTGGGATATTATTAGGTATATCCCCGGGAAGGTTTTTGAAAAATAATTTCTTGAATATCTTGAATATCCTTAGAGTTATTTGCAGATTTGTAGATTTAACTCGCAAGCAGCGCCACCATTGCGACGATGATAACAAGTTTTTTAATCTATAAGTTTTATTATCACTAAGTTTATTATCTTAAAGATTATTTATCAAAAGTAAGATTATCTCAGGATGACACGGCAATTTATTTGAGACAAGAATAATGATACAATTCAAGGCGAAGATACTATTCCTTTAACTTCAATTACCGAGGGAACCAATTAATATTGATTTTATTCAACTTATCGAGTATTTTTCAAGGGACCGGGAAAAAATGTTCACTAGATAAAACGATGATTTTGTAATGTAGAAAATTAGGAAAGACAAAATTCAGGATGACACGGCACACAGGGACCGGGAAAAAATGTTCACTTTATCGAGAGATTCAAATTTACGAGTTTCAAATTATCAAAATATATCTTTTTTAAAAATAAGTTTATAGAGAATTGTTTTAACAAATGTTCGTTAGACAAACCTTTACTCGGGTAAAACCTCGGGCGAAGCCGGGTACATCCGCTAGTATTCAATAAACTTAGGTAGTGTAGCTTCTATATATATATATGTAATAATGTGTTGAGATCCTGTCGACTCTCTGTAATATTGTGTTGGGATCCTTATCTGTGATTAGGGATCCTGTCGACTAGCTGTAATAATGCGTTGAGGTTTGGTAAGCCTGTTGTAGAACCTCGTCGACTCTCGCTATAAGTTGTGGCAACCGAGGGTCATACCTGTAGTAACCGCGAGGGACAGTCAGGGGTGGAGAGTTTTCTAGTACCTCGCTGCACCTTGTAGGACCTTTAACAGTTCTCCCAAAGTACAGGCAGTCGTGGTCGAGGCAGAGTGGAAAACTGGGGAATGTCCACACACAAAAAACGAAGAGACACAGTTGAAAGAAAGTTCCTTGAATAGATAAAAAGCGAGCCAAGAGCAAAGATGGAGATCGAGAAGTTTTCTTACTGTTTTACATCGTCGATGAGTTGGTGACAACCGGCGACACGCAGATGGGGAACTTACTGGAACTCAACTGAACTGGCTGTTGCTACGCGGCCTTTTTATACGACCGCTCTGACTAAGAGAATTGGGTCATGCACGTGTCGATGGACACCGGACACTGGCGACAGACTGTCGGGGTCCAATCTATCTTTAGAAGTCACTTGTGATTCTCTCTTTGGCTCTTAACTTAGCTTTTAATCTATTATATTTTATTTATTCATCCTCAGTACATTACATCTGGAGATACAAGGACACACGTCAATTATGCGTATAATTAGTTGTAGTTTATAATTAGTTCTATATACAACATGACAATCTTGTTATACGTATTACATAATATAGGGTTATTGGTTTAAATTATCATAGATGGGCCCCGTGAGTGAAAGGGTTTATCCGGGTTTAAGCGGGTAAAGCCTCTCTAACACAGGTAAGTAATTAAAATTTCTTTAATTAATTAAAACTGTGAGGGAAAAGGGCTATATAACAAGATGTTTATTTGGCTATATCTGAAAATTATAAAAATAAAACTTATGTTTAATTTAAAAGTTATGATATTCATTATAAAAGAGAACTGTAGGTAAAACCTTTGTTTGCTAAAAAAAATAATGATGATGTTCTAAGAGATTGTTGGCGGGCGTTGGAAAGGGTTAGGGGTTGAAGAATATGCAATTGTAAGTGTTGCACAGACAATCAAATACTTAGGTCCAGGTGCAAAGCGAGGATATAGACTTGTGCGTCTTCCTAGGCAATGTTTCACCTGTGATCCTGTATAAGGTTACAGTGCTTTGTCACAATTGTAGGGTTATTGGTTGAAAAGATGTTGAAGAAAAGAATTAATATGCTTGAAAGGGGTGGTAGAGCCATGCGATAAGTAGAATTGTTGTAGCGACAGTAGGGTCTGACTTGACTTGAAATCAAAGGTTGATTGTGGTCCGCTAGAGCTGAAAAAAATTGAAAATTGAAAAATGTGAACGCTTTGTGCATGCGTTGGTGATGTGCTCTGCGGATGATTGAAATAAACTTTTGAAACGTGTTCAGACCAAAAAGTCGAGACTTGTACTTCTGGGGAACGGTGTTTTCAAAGAGTTTGTTGAATTACGAAATCAAAAGAAAAATTGTCAAGCAGTACTGTCGTTTCTCTACGTTGATGTAAAGCAATGGCGGAGAGAAAGATAGTAGTGTAAAGTACACTGAAGTGGTTAGAGAAATAGATTGTTGTAAACGATTGTTGTATATGCCCGATAGTTGATGATAAACAAACATTGTCATATAATAAAGTATTTAAACAAAAATATAGTGAATAAAAAGATAAAAATGTGATTGCGGATAAAAAGTATAAGTGGATAAGATCAAACATGTACTATATGAAAGATATAATAATGAATTAGTAAAATATAATAATGAGAATTAGTAATATATAAAAGATATAATAATGAATTAAAAATGATTATTGAAAGAATTAACTGTTTTGCCATTGTTAAAATAAAGTTGTTAAAATAATGTTGGAATAAAAATTTGATTATAATTGAAAAGTAAAAAAAAAAAATAAAAAAAAATAATTATTCAAGATTTTATACAAAAAAAATATAATATAATTAAAGGTTATTAATGATTAGATAAACAAATGGAGCAAAAAATGTCTCTTTTGAAGAAAAGTTAAAGAAAACAAAAAATATTCGTTCCTGAAAAAAAAGAAAGGAACATATTCACACAATGTCTAGGTGTAGGTCCAAGATTATTGGTGTCTTTAGTTTGACCTATGGGGAGGCAATGTGGCCCTATGTCGCTTTGGTCCGGTCTGAGAAGTTGGTCTTTGCCAGATCTTCCTGATTAGATTATGTGAGACCAGACGGGGAGCGATCTTGATCCCTAAAATTGGATGGTATTGACGAAGATGATTGTAATATATAACAATAAAGGGTTAACATTATAAAAGATGGCGTTCTAGTTTAGAAAAAATATTCCATACTGGGCGTGAAAATAATGTAAAAGTTGTAAAACACACGATGATAATTGAAGATATAAAGTTTTATGATATTTCAATATTAAAATTCAAATTAATAAGTAAATTGGGTAATGATTGGTAAGCCAATCAGTTGATAATTGACAGGTTATTTGGTGGACACGAAAGTCTAGCATACCCTAGCGAACTGGAGGTGTCATGTTAACATCGCGGCTGCAATTGGTGTCCATATCAACATGTGTCATGTCCTTTGATGCCTACCGACATAGCTGGGTTGTTTATTTACGTAGGCGGTCCTTTGTTGCCGACCCTTTGTTACCGACTGGCATCTGATGTCATGTCTGGCCTACGTCCCGAGTTGAGTTATCTCCTCTTGTCTGTTTGAAAATATAGTCTTCTCGGTGTTCGCAAGTGTTGTGTTTCGACGTTGTTGCGGACTTATTAAAAAAAATGTTATTCAATGATGTCAGGTTAGATGTGCGTAAAAGTGCGACTTCAACGTAGACACGCTTTTGGTGAGGTGTCACAGGCATGAAGGCGTCTTGGGCCTGTTAAGTGAGAAAATTGTTGTGGTGCGCTGTGTAACACTAGTGGGTGTTTTATGGAAAGGTGTCACGTGAAATCTTCGTTTTTGGGTACAGCATCTAACTAGTTTTCGAATGAATAACAAATTTATTAGTCATGGGTGGTTGTTGTACGAAACACATCGAGAATTTTCAGATTGTTATAGAGGTGGTATGTTTATCGTGAAATCTTTGTGTTCGCGACGATATGGAGCTCGTGTGGCTCGAAATTGGATGTTGTTAAATCGCGCGTTAATAGATGTGGCCAATTGGAGAAAGTGATGGGGGAGTGTGTTGAAGTTCGTTCCGAGAGATGTGCGAATTATTAATAATTATGCATGTAAAAAGAAAAGGACGCGGGAGTGTAGCTATGCTGGAATTTTTAACTTGTTTTGGGGAAGGACAGTTACATTTCTAGTTGTGCTTTTGAAGATAGTGTATCTTTCGATTTTTGTATTAAAAAAAAAATGCGTTTCATCTATGTTTATTAAAATTTGAATATACTTTTTAAATCGTTGATTATGGTAGTGCGAAAATTATACTTGTAAAAGGGCAATGGCATGATAGTGACTTATAATTTGAAGGGGGCGTGTACATAAAATAGTGAACATAACAATAATTTTTTGCAAAGTTTTGTGTATTTAATTAAGACATTGGAGTTTTTTGGTATAAAAATAAGGTATTAAGAGAAACACAACAAATAAGTTTAGAAAATAGGATTCGAGTAATTAAAATATAATATGATTTTTTTTATGTAACATTGAAAGTAATGGATTAAGATTTAAAAGTTGCTTAAAATAAAGTAAAAATTGATAAATGAGGGTGTACAATATTTAAAATTTGGATTGAAATGCTATAAAAATGGTAAAATTTGATTTAAAAATAATTACAGTAAAAATAAACATTATATTTATGGAAAATCAAGTTGTTAGCATGAAGAGAGAGTTAAGTAGATTTTTTAAAAACTCACAGTTTTTATGATTGTTCAGTCAGGAGAAGTGGTCTTTGGTTGTTGTCCTGATGACGTGGAAGGCGTCCCATGTAGAGCTTGTAGAAGCTTGACTTCTGTTTGGCGATGGTGGCATGTCGTCTGGATGGTTGCGTTGTAAGGTCGAAGGTGGGTAACTTCTCACCGGCTTATTTTGCGGGATGTTCGGCTGTGTCGTTGGGGGGAAGATTGCTTGGTCGATTTGTTGGAATGGCGTGCTTGTTCCTCCATCTTTGCTTCTTGGCTCTTCTATCTATCTGGACAGTCTTTACCTTCTTCGTTGTGGTCTCCTTCGTTGTGGTAATCCTGTCGACTATCTGTAATATTAGGTTGAGATCCTGTCGACTCTCTGTAATAATGGGTTGAGATCCTTATCTGTGATTAGGGATCCTGTCGACTAACTGTAATAATGTGTTGAGATCCTGTCGACTCTCTGTAATATTGTGTTGGGATCCTTATCTGTGATTAGGGATCCTGTCGACTAGCTGTAATAATGCGTTGAGGTTTGGTAAGCCTGTTGTAGAACCTCGTCGACTCTCGCTATAAGTTGTGGCAACCGAGGGTCAAACCTGTAGTAACCGCGAGGGACAGTCAGGGGTGGAGAGTTTTCTAGTACCTCGCTGCACCTTGTAGGACCTTTAACAGTTCTCCCAAAGTACAGGCAGTCGTGGTCGAGGCAGAGTGGAAAACTGGGGAATGTCCACACACAAAAAACGAAGAGACACAGTTGAAAGAAAGTTCCTTGAATAGATAAAAAGCGAGCCAAGAGCAAAGATGGAGATCGAGAAGTTTTCTTACTGTTTTACATCGTCGATGAGTTGGTGACAACCGGCGACACGCAGATGGGGAACTTACTGGAACTCAACTGAACTGGCTGTTGCTACGCGGCCTTTTTATACGACCGCTCTGACTAAGAGAATTGGGTCATGCACGTGTCGATGGACACCGGACACTGGCGACAGACTGTCGGGGTCCAATCTATCTTTAGAAGTCACTTGTGATTCTCTCTTTGGCTCTTAACTTAGCTTTTAATCTATTATATTTTATTTATTCATCCTCAGTACATTACATCTGGAGATACAAGGACACACGTCAATTATGCGTATAATTAGTTGTAGTTTATAATTAGTTCTATATACAACATGACAATCTTGTTATACGTATTACATAATATAGGGTTATTGGTTTAAATTATCATATATATATATATATATATATTAAAAGATATTGTATATTACTGTTATATATTTGTATAATATTATTACAGAATTATCATAAGAACTAAAAACATCTCACGCTATATATTGATTACATCACACAACAACAACCAAGTCCTTGGTCAAAACCATATAAACATATTATATATTACAGAAACAATCATGATTTGTATTTCTATTTCTTAAATTTAGATGGCGCATTATTGTCTTGGGTTTAATTAAATTATTCTTTGTTTTCAATCTCTCTATAGTATGTGTATTTTATATTTCAAATTACAATATTTTGAACCACTTTTTTATACAAACTGTAACGTTTCCTATTTAGAAATAAAGGATAGTTACAATGTGTTTTAATATTTAATTTAATTTCAACAAGGTTAACCACAATATATAAACAAGCGCGGCAGCCCTAGACGTATGGACGGAGTTTTATTGCCGGGACCACTCCAACAGACACCTGAGGAGAATAGCCCATACTCCAGACCGGCTGCTCCAATTCCTCCCTAAGGTCTGCCCTGGATAAGTCACCACCACCTTACTCACAGGACATGGCCATGTTCGGGCAGACTTGGTTCTCTGGCATTCTGGTGAAGACCCATCTTGCCCACATTGTATGGAGGAACAACAGACTATGGACCACCTTCTATTCAGATGCCCTGCTTTCATGCGACACAGAATGCAGACAGCCCTGCTGCTTGGGAAGACCTCCTTCGACCCAGTCTCGTTGGCTGGACTCCCGGATTCTCTGCAGGCATGGAACTTCCTGACCAGCTGGTTCGGCTCTGCAATTGGCTCTATGTAAATATAATCTAGAGTAACTGGTTTCTACTAGTTAGCTTGACAGCCCGGGCAGTTGGTGTTTCTTGCGCTCCAGGGGCCTGGGTTATTTCTCTCTATATAAACAAAACAAACTTATGCAAAATTAGAGAAAGAAATAAAGTACAATATTGCCGACTGCCTAACTATGAAGAAAATTCAAGAAATATTTAAATATCTTCTCTTATATATAAAAGTCAATGTCTGTTTCGTGATAAACTCAAAAAATACTGAACCGATTGGTACCAAATTTTGCATGTCGCTTTTTATAAACCTGAGGAAAAATTTCGGCTACATTTTGATTAGTATTTTTGGATATTTATTTTTTTCATTTGAAAAACTTTTTTTTTACGCGGAGTAAATACGTGGCGAATTAACAACACCAGGCCAATTAAGCGACCAATGAGCGTTCTGCATTTTTTTTTCAAGTTGCTTGCGTACTTTTTTTGAAATATCTTTTTATACGAGTTTTACTTTTTTTTACAAAAGTATTGAGAGAGAAATTTATATTACTAAGTTACGGTAAGTGCACACAATGTATTTTTAAAAAAACTTTACAAAATTAGCGTTACTGTATGTTAATATTGGCTTTCGTATTTTTTATTAATTTTTGTTCTGGCCTTTGTTTTTTTTATCTCTTAAAAAAATCGTTTAAAATATAGTCGCAGTCATTAGTAAACACATATGTTTACCTAATTTCCATGTGCTCTTTTATTTTTTTACAGAAAAATATTTACATGCCAGTATTTTGGATTAATTTTATAAACCTATTTTTTCTTATTCTTACTGAGAAGATGGGCATCGCAGTCAAGATCCATCGCAGTCACTCACTCAACTCAGGCAATTTCAAGGGTTAATGCGCTGGGGTGGGTACCTCGGGGGTTGGGTGGAAAAGCTGCCATCTATTTAAACTATATTGATTTTGAAACAACTAAATGGATTGCAAAAAAAAATTAAATCAAATACCTAAACACTAATATAATACAATTTTTGCCATTACATACTTTTTGCCTGTGGTTTATGTGTTACTTCTGTATTGCTATTCTATGGCACTTCTACTATTTATTATTGATGTACTTTCAGTATGAAGGGAATTGCACTCGGGGGAATTCTCGGGCGAAGCCGGGTCATTCATCTAGTTTTACATAAATCAATACAAAGCATGTTACACAAACTAAACTACCGAATATCAAATTCCTTACAAATGTATTCAAAGAAATAATTTTAATTTATTTCTATATTTGAATTGAATAATACCCTATAACAAGACTTAGAACAAAACACTATAAAGGAATGGCAATACATCCAGATGGCACAAGAACCTATAGGCATACAACAACTGTCCTGGTGTGGAACTAACACCTACTCACATATTCTCATGCCCAGCAATGGCCGCAGCCTTGCAGAAAATTGACATAGACCCAAAGCAGCAACTTTAAACACCCAAGATAGTGGATATTGCTGCTGCTGTG